CCATCATTTGACAGGACCATCATCTGAAGTACCATCGATAATTGCATCAGCAGAAACTGTGGATGCCATCTGTGAACGACATCAAATTAAACAGGCCTATCATGATCCCGATGTTTTACACCCCTCATTAACTTTAGTAGAGTCCCTAACTGTCGATGTGAGTGCTTTGCCTCAAGAGTTCACACAGGAAGATGCTTATCACTTTTCTGGTCTTCCTAAGTTGTCTGAAGAAGACCTGCGTGAAAGGCAAAGAGCTGATACAGAAATTAGGATTGTTATCCAACAACTGGAGTCAAACGAAAAGCCCTGTCTCAAAACTATTCCATCTGAATTAATTCTGTGGTTCAAAGAATGGAACCGTCTGGAGTTAAAAAATGGCATACTATTCAGAAGGAGAAAGTGCGAAAGAGACACAACATACCAATTGGCATTGCCAGCTGACTTTCGTGATGTGGTCTTGAAAGAACTCCACGATGAAATGGGACACTTAGGGATTGAGCGAACTCTTGAACTTGTTCGAACAAGGTTCTTCTGGCCTAAGATGTCATCAGCTGTAGAGCAGAAGATAAAGACCTGTGAACGCTGTGTTCGCCGCAAGACTTTGCCAGTAAAGGCTGCTCCGCTGGTGAATATACAAACTAGCAGACCTTTAGAGCTCCTTTGTATGGATTTCCTAACAATAGAACCAGACCGAAGTGGCACCAAAGATGTACTGGTTATGACTGACCATTACACCAAGTATGCTATTGCTGTGCCTACAAGGAATCAGAAAGCCCAGACAGTTGCAAAGTGTCTGTGGGATCATTTTCTTGTTCATTATGGATTCCCAGAAAAACTTCATAGTGATCAAGGTACCGACTTCGAGTCTCGCACAATTAAAGAACTTTGCAGAATTGCAGGAATATCCAAGATTAGAACCACTCCCTACCACCCAAGAGGCAATCCTGTAGAGCGCTTTAACCGAACGCTTTTGCAGATGTTGGGAACCTTAAACAACAAACAAAAATCAAGATGGAAGGATTATGTCAGACCGCTAGTGCATGCTTACAACTGCACAAAGAGTGATGTGACAGGATTCTCTCCGTATGAATTAATGTTTGGCAGACAACCGCGACTCCCAATTGATCTTGCATTTGGTTTACCTGTGGGTGGACAAAATGAATCACATTCCAAGTATGTTCAAGGCTTAAAGAATCGGCTGGAAGAAAGCTACAGAGTTGCAAGGGAGAATTCTGCAAAGATAGCAGACCGCAACAAGAAGAGGTATGACAAGCACGTTGTCAGTTCCACTCTTGAAATTGGTGATAGAGTACTTGTAAAAAATGTTCGCCTAAAGGGAAAAAACAAGCTTGCGGATAAGTGGGAGCCTGATGTTTATGTGATAACAAAGAAAGCTGGTGACTTACCTGTTTACACTGTTAAGCCTGAACAGAAGGATGGACCTCTGAGAACCCTGCACAGGGATCTGCTTCTGCCTTGTGGATTCCTGTCAGCAAGCACAACAGATGAGCATGTTGAAAGAGAAGTGAATCGAAAACCTAGAACTAGAGCCAGATGTGCTGTGGAACCTGAAGAGTCTGAGAGCACGAGTGAGGATTCAGAGTCAGATCATTATCCTGTAGACCATTACAGCCCTCAAGATTTCTTAGAGATTGAAACCAGAATTCTGTCTGACTCAAAACTTCCACCAGCTCAAAGCCAAACAGCAGTTCAACTACCTGGTGATGAAACCATGTTGGACGACAGACATGTTGTCTCTGCAGAATCTGCTGATACAGATACTGTAAACTTACCTAGAATGGCAAATTCCAAAGTACAGGAGGATAATCCTCTCACACCAGATCAACCTGTAGAAAGCAGCTTAGAAAACCTACCTGAGTTTGGAGTTGATTGTGGAAAGGAAATTGCTCACGTTGAAGAGGAACCGAATGTTCATGGAGAATCGCCTAAAAAATCAAGAGGCGAGAATGAAGAAAGTACTAATTTGACTCAAAGAGAAAGTGTCATTATTATAGAGTCTCAGGAGGACCAGAATGAAACAGATGAAACTGAAAATCTCAGACGTCCGAGAAGATACTGTGGACCTCCAAACAGACTTAACTACCCGCAACTGGGAAATCCTCTCAGCTTAGTTGTTCAGTCCTTGTTTTCCAGTTTGAGTACAGCAATTACAAGCTCTTTGGGAGATTCAAATTCCTCAAGAAATTTCTCTCCCAGTGAAACCATCTGAATTCCAGGATGCAGAGGGACCTGCATACATTCAAGAGGGGAGAATGTAACCCAGATCATAAATCTAGGTCACTAATAATAATTTTAGAAAGTATTATTATTATTATTTATTTATATTATTTTATTATTTATACTCTAATAATAAGTGAATAAAAAGCAGAAAGATCGCTGTGTAATTAAAGGTATTAACAAATATTTTCATACCTGATCTTGATTGGAGAAGTGAGCAGTTAGCTCCGCCCCCGCACATGCGACGGAAAGCACAAGCAGATAGTGCCAAAAAGCAAACAAGAGCTAGAGAAGTAGCAAGTTGACAAGCAACCGAGAGAACTAGAGATATAGTGCTAACAAACAACCGAGAACTAGAGAGATATTAAGTTAACAAGCAGTGAGAGCTGGAGAGCTAACGAGCACACGAGAGCTAACGAGCACACGAGAGCTAACGAGCACACGAGAGCTGGAGAGCTAACGAGCACACGAGAGCTAACGAGCACACGAGAGCTGGAGAGCTAACGAGCACAGGAGAGCTAACGAGCACATGAGAGCTGGAGAGCTAACGAGCAGTCGAGAGCTAGTGATCTAACAACCAGTTGAGAGATAGTACATCAATAGAAAACTGACAAAATAGACTTGATTCAACTTTATCCTTCACTAATTACTGTCTTTGGTGAGTACCAATGCCTTTATGAGAAATTTATTAATATTTTATTGTGAATATGTTGGGTTGTAAAGTGAAACAGTAGTAAAAAACCAAAGTTCTTGTAAATGTTTTCAAAATTACTCTTAAAATTGCTTTTAAAAGAATCCCACATAATATTTCTAGTGTTTATAATTGTGTTTACATCTCT